ATTCTCCTGCCTCCGCCTCCTGTGCTGGGATCACAGGGTGCTCCACTCCTGGTTTATGTGGTACTGGGGACAGAACCCAGGACTCCATGCATGCTAGGCAAACTCTCTGTTTCTGAACCACATCCCCAGTTTATGGATTTTGAGCGAAAGTGTGATATAGTCTCAGTCATCCAAAAGGCTGTCCCTCTCTCAAGGGAGTCGCCTGCCTGTACTCTACTAGGCCCTCTTTTGCCCATGTGACCAGAGCCCCCATGTTCTAGTCACACTGACTGCACTGAAATGATGAGCCTCACCGTTTTCCTCCAGAAGATTCCGTGACTCTTGATCAGACTGGGCCTCCATAGTCTGAAACTGGTGACTGAAGGGCTCCTGCGTGGCTCCGGGTGGCACCATCTTCTGAGACAGCACTTCAGGACATGTGACAATCTAACAACCACAACTACAACCAATCAGCAAAATCATAGACGGGAATGGGAAAGAACCCGTTAGAGTCCATTAGACTGTCAGCCGTCTGTCCCCTTGCCCAATATCGAACTTGTGTCTACAATGAGCCAGGCTCTGATTAAATAGCAGGTTAACAAACATGGTTTACTTCTACTAGGAAATGACTTCCATGTGACATAACCATATGCAAATACACAATTATGAGCTCCATGTTAGATGGGAAAGAAATACAACTACAGGACAGAACAGGTGAGACCCGCTTTAGCCGGAGAGGCTAGGGAGGGTAACTCTGCGTAAACACCTGAAAGATTAAAGGAGGGGCTGCAGAGATGGCCCAGCGGTTAAGAGCACTGGCTTCTCTTCCAGAGGACCCAGGTTCAGCTCCCAGCACATGGTGGCTCACAACCACCTGTATCTCCAGCTCCAGGGAATCCAGTGTCTTCTTCTAGCCTCTGAGGGTACCAGCACACACACACACACACAAATTTTAAAATAATTATTTTTAAAGAGAAGGCAGCCAAAGGCAAAGGGGGAGAAGAAACCCAGGCACAAAGAGGGTTCCCAAACCTTCCCTGATGCAAAATAGGGTATTTGATCCAACCCAGGACCCCTAAGACGCCAAGGGTGGGTAAAGGTAAAGGCGAGAGAAGAAAAGGGAGGACGGAAAGGTCATTACGAGACTCAGGAAGCCACTGCTGGTCAGACTAAGATTTAAGATAGTTTATGTCCCATATGCCTATAATTCCAACACTCAGGAGGCAGAAAACAGGAAGGCTGCAGCAAGGTCTTAGCTAAACCAGGTTACACTCTGCCTCAAAAAAGACTTAAACTAGGATTGGAGAGATGGATCAGAGGTCAGGAGGACTGGCTGCTCTTACAGAGGTCCTGAGTTCATTTCCCAGCAACCTCATGGTGGCTTATAACCATCTGGTGCCCTCTTTTGATGTGTGTGTGTGTGTGTGTGTGTGTGTGTGTGTGTGTGCGCGCGCGCGTGCGCGCGCGCATGTGTACGCACGCAGGAATGCAGGTTAAATAAATAAATAAATATTAAAAAAAAAGACTTAAACTAGCAGGACAGTGGTGGTGCACACCTTTAATCCCAGCACTTGGGAGGCAGAGGCAGGCAGATTTCTGTGAGTTTGAGGCCAGCCTGGTCTACAGAACAAGTTCCAGGACAGCCAGGACTGTTACACAGAGAAACCCTGTCTCAAAAAACAGAAAGGAAGAAAGAAAGAAAGGTTAAAAAAAAAGAAATAAGCTAGTTCATATCCAGCGTGATACCAGCTTCTACCATCCTGCTCTCAGCCCTCAATCCAACCTAGGGTGTAAGTATATAATTATCCTTCTTCAAGGCACAACTTCCTCCCAGAAATTCTGGATGGCATTAAGATTTGCCACCCCTCCTTCCCCTCGCTATTTGAGTCACAAGGTGAGCGAAAGCAGACCGAAAGTCTAAGGATCGTCTGGCACTCTGGAGTACCCCTCACCCTCAGAGTGCAAATGATGAGGTGAGCACCTTACACTTAGACACAGACACTCTGAGGAATGAGTGCAACCCTCAGTCTCTTCCAAACCCACAGGCTTCTGTTCTGTTTGTTTTTAGACAGGGCCTTCCTCCTGTCTCAGCTTCCCAAGTGCTAGGATTAAAGGAATGTCCCACCAAATCGAACTCTAAGTTCATAAGAAGAAAATACTGAAAGGAAACAGCAGAGGGAAGGAAATGCCAAAACTGTTTATACCTCAAATAACTTTAAAGCAAGTCCAGAAACAGCCAATAAAGACAGCATTTTATTTCTGAGGCAGGGTCTCTCTCCCTATAATAATTTCGGGTGGCAAAAAAAAAAAGCAAATTTAAAAAAGGACTGAAGGGGCTGCAGAGACAGCTCAGAGGTTAAGGGCACTGGCTGCTCTTCCAGAGGACGTGGGTTCAATTTCCAGCACCTATGTGTCTGTAACTCTGGTTCCAGGGGATGACACCTTCATACCAAAGCACATAAAATAAAATGAAATGGACTGAGAAAAGGTTTTCATAAACTGCAGTCAAAAAAGTCTTCTGAAGCATGAATTCCAGAAACCAGGATGTAAGAATTACACTGGTTCATCTCTAAACACAATAGATTCCATGACAATAAACTGGAAAAATAGCATAGGCCAATCACATAGCAGGCACAATGCCTATTGTTTCTAACAAGTAAGAAACACACGTAAGAAACACAAGCATAATTTGCAAAAAAGAAGAAGAGGAAGAAAAAGAAGAAACGCAATATTCTATAAAACTCATGGCACATGCGTTTAATCCCAGCACTTGTGAGGCAGAAGCAGGTAGATCTTTGTCAGTTGGAGTCCACTCGGGTCTACACAGTGAAATCCAGAATACCCAAGGATACATAGTGAGACCATCCAAAGCAACAACAACAAAATCAGAATGTGATCAACGGAAGCACCAGAGGGCTAAGACAGCTTGGCAGCTCCTCAGCGCTCAGTTCCCTCCTCACTGCATCTCTCCCACGCACCTGTTGCCGGCGCTCCTCTAGCTCTTTCTGGATATTCTCGATCACAGCCACGGCTTCTTCTCCGCTCTCGGGGTGATGTTCTCTCACCCAGGCCTGGAACTCTTCAGGCAGGATGGTGAGGAACTGCTCCAGCACTAGTAGCTCCAGGATCTGCTCCTTGGTGTGCAGTTCCGGCCTCAACCACTCACAGCAGAGTACCCGGAGCTGGCTGAGAGCATCCCGAGGTCCTGTTGCCTCATGGTACTGGAAGTGCTTGAAGCGCTGGTAAAAAGTCTCAAACACTGGCCGGTTGTATGCCTGCATCCAGGAGCAGTCCTCTTCTTCCACTTTCACTATGAGAAGATCAGCTTGCTCTTGCGAAGAAGTCTCAGCTGGAGGCTCTAAGTGTGTAACTTTCTTGGATTCTGTCATTATCATTCCAACTCAGAGTCTCTAGAGGCTGCCCGTTACAATGACCCAATTCGTTCTCTGCTCTTCTGAAGAGCGCTTTTTGCAGTCAACAACCTTTCTGGTATGTCGGGAATTATTATTAGCCAAGAGAGGTGGCAAAGACGTCATCTATACTAAAGAAAACCACTCAATAAAGTCATTCACTTAAAGATACCGACTACAAGTCAGTTATCACTTTACCCACAAAATTACTAATAGTAACTACGTCCAGATTTTAAAAACGCAAATAAACGGTCGCAAAAAGTGACGTCAAGCCCAACGTAAAATACAATTTTAGAAATGAGAAAGTACACATTTCATATAAATAACAGGACTAGATTATTCCAGACAGAGTCGTTTCTTCTCTCTATCATAAGCCAAACTTAAGTCGGAATAGGAGTGAAACCCATTAAAATGGTCATATCTGTTCCTGGCTTTCAAGCCATAAGGGCTTGACAGATAAACGGAAGACTTCATTAGTTCTAGGAGAAAGCACGGTCGTAGACAGAAATTTGGATCTGGATTCCTCAGACTAGCTCCTGACCCCTGAGACAGAGACCGGACGGGTCAAGGTTAGGGACAGGACCCCAGTGTGGACACAATACCCTACTCGCTCCTCTCCAGTCCCTAAGTCCTGGGGACCCAAAGAGCAAACTCCCCGCAGCTCAGGCTTGGAAGATGGAGTTCTCACAAGCCAAGGGAGAACCGCGTCCGACACTTTCCAACAGTTCCTCGCCGGAAGTAACCAAGTGCGGGCTTCAGCCATAAATCCCACCCCCAAGAGCGCTTCCGCAGCCGCTCTAGGAATCCCGGAGGTCCTCGCAGCGCCGCGGGAGGGAGGAGCTACTTCTGGACCCGCCCACGTACAGGGGCTGACCAATCAGCAAGCTTCAAGTAAGAGGCTATTAGAGCCAAAGGAAAATAGCACTAATATCTATTTTCCATCCTAAAAACCAGTTTGCGCTCCGCCCCTCCCCTGCCACTAAGGCTAGAGGGCGGGTTTCAGGGGCGGGCCCCTAATCTCTCGCATCTGATTGGTCGAGAACAACTTCCCTCACCATACACACTCAGGAACTAAAGTTGATCTGCACCTTGTTGCCAGCTCATAACCCTTCGAATTCTATCACTGCCTTGTGATAGAATTTTTCCAGACTTACCCAAAGAGATTCTTTACTGCCCTAGAATGGCGCGATCCCGAGGCTCACAGGACTACATCTCCCAAGAAGCCGCGCGAGAGCCACACAGTCTAGCCAATAAGATTGCCGCTCACCTCGGTCTAGAGGGTTGATTAAGATGCTGCAGGTGGACTGGACGGCTCACTGACATTCATCTTACTGCCAAGCCTAATGACATGAGTTCCATCCCTGGGTTCGAGATATCCAAATGTTATGGAAGTCAAAGTCGCCGTGTATGGTCCCTCACCCAGCGCGCAGGCATCAGGGAAATTAATTTTTTAAAAAAATGTTAAAAGGCAACAGGAACCAGGTGGTGGTGGCTCACGCCTTTAATTCCGGGAGGCAGAGGCATGCGGAACTCTGCGAGTTCGAGGCCAGCCTGGTCCACAAGGGTTAGTTCCAGGACAGACACCAAAGCTGCAGAGAAATGCTGTCTCGAAAAACAAAAACAAACAAACAAAAAAGGCAACAGGGGGTCTATTCTGAAGGTAGGGGGTATTTCAATTGATCACACTTTGCTCTCTTCTCACTACTAAACTTGACCAGACTTTTAAAAAAGTAATAATAATAACAACAGATGCAGCAAAGTTAAGATTATGCCAGGAGCCTGGTAGCCTGCTGTCTGGGGGAGAAACCACACTTTAGAAAAGGGGAGTTTTGTTAAATCCTGTTACCCTTAACTGTAAATGCCTACCTTTATTTAATAATCTATTCCTCTCTTGTGTTTTGATCGCTTTCTAAGTCCTTCACTGACAGGCAGTATCAAAGTTCCTGTCGTCACTCCTAGGGTCACACTGAAACAGACTACTGTGGAATTGCAACCTCTGCAAATAGTTGAAGACCTAGAGAATAAAGACCCCCATGCTGTAGAACGGCAGTGCGGGCGTCTCTCAGGGAGGGTGAGATTCTGAAATCCCTGAATTCCATCTCCAGTACCAAGGTGATGGGGAGTAAAATAAAGAGTTATAAGGCGCTGGAGAGATGGCTCAGTGGTTAGGAACATTTGCTGCTCTTGTCAAATGATCTGGATTCCCAAAACTCTCATGGCTAACAACCTTTGGTAACTCTAATTCCAGGATATCTGATGCCCTCTTCTGGCCTCTGTGTGCACTGCACACATTGTGTATTAGAGATGTTACTCCCACTCACTCCATCCCACCCCACCTGCCACCCCCATAGTGAGATACTCTCACTATGTGACTCTGGCTGTCTTGGAACTCACCATGTACACTAGGCTGAACTTGAATCCACAGAGATCCGCCTGCCTCTGCCTCCGGAGTTCTGGGATTACAGGTTTGTACCACTGCCGCCTGGTAGCAACTATTAAGTCTCTGCACCATGTTGTGGGTTCAGAGATTTGAGCCCAGATCTTCTCTGAACCATCTCTCTAGCCCCCTTTTATTTGTTTGTTTGTTTTGAGACAGGATTTTTCTGTGTAGCCCCCGTTTTACTTTTTTGTTTTTGTTTTGTTTTGTTCTGCTTTTTTGATTTTGTTTGTTTTGAGATGGGGTTTCTCTGTGTAGCTCTGTCTGTCCTGGAGTGCTCTCTGTAGACCAGGATGGCCTCGGCCTCGAGCTCGTAGATTCTCCTGCCTCCAAGTGCTACGGGCATGCGCCGCCACTACCACCTGGCTCCGCCTGCCGCCCGCCACTCTCCAATTTTTCACCTTATTTTTTTATTTTTTTTTTTTTTGGACTTAGCCTCTGGCAGCTCCAGTGCAATGAGGAAGGCGAACCACCGAGATGCCTCTTAGTCCTCCACGGTGCTTAGAGAGACCTTGGGAATACAAGTCCTGTCCGCGGGGGATAAAGACGCACTTCCGGCTGGGTTTGTTTTTCTCACTTTCATCAGCTAAAGTGAGACTTAATGGCCATGGTTGCGGGTGTGTTGTGTCGGTAGGGGCCATTTCGGGGCCTCGTTTGTGAAAGAGAGTGGAAGTACGCCCCGTTTTGCCCTTCTAGAAACAAGTTCGAGCTGGACGGTCCAGAGATTCCAATGGCTGCGGGTGTCGGGGTCGCCGCGCCACCGCTCGGTGCCGGGCTTTGTACGGTGAAAGTGGAGGAGGACTCACCCGGAAATCAGAAGCCCTCGGGACCCGAGGATTGGCAGAACCCCGAAACTTCTCGACAACAGTTCAGGCAGTTGCGCTACCAGGAAGTGGCGGGCCCCGAAGAAGCGCTGAGCCGACTCTGGGAGCTCTGTCGGCGGTGGCTGAGGCCAGAGCTGCGCTCCAAGGAGCAGATCCTGGAGCTGCTGGTGCTGGAGCAGTTCCTCACCATCCTGCCGCAGGAGCTCCAGGCCTGCGTGCGGGACCTCTGCCCTGAGAGCGGGGAGGAGGCTGCGGCTTTGGTGCGGACTATACAAAGAGTTCTGGACCGGGCCTCCCCACAGGTGAGATGCGGGTGAGCTCTGGGTGACGCCAGAGAGATGGTTTCAGCGTTTAAGATCCTCTGGGGCTCTTCCAGAGGATGAGTTCAGTTCCCAGCACCCACGTAGGGAGGCTCACCGTCACCTGCAACTCTAGTTTCAGGGGTTCTAAATGCCTTCTGGGCATTTTTAATCGCATGTGTGCGTGACTTCTATAGGCTCATATATCAGAATATGTTAAGTCCGTGGGAAGACACCTTGGAAAAGTAGAGACACTACTGATTGTGAAAATTTTTCTTATTTTTTTAAATTAATTTATTTATTATGTATGCAATGTTCTGTATGCCTGCAGGCCAAAAGAGGAACCAGATCTCATAGATGGTTGTGAGCCACCCCTAGCTCGTTGAAACTAAGCTTGCTCATGCCTTTTGGGATACAATCCACAATCATGGTCGGTGTGAAAAGACTTTTTTATTTTTCGTTTTTTGTGTGAATGTGTACCACGTGTATGGGAGTGCCGAAGAAACACAGAAAAAGGCATTAGGTCCCAGGAACCAGAGTCACAGGCTATTGTGAGCTGCTCAGTGTAGGTCCTGGCAGCTGAACGTAGGTCAGTCGCCCTGGGAGAACAGGAAGCACCCTTCTGATACATCCTGAAAATTTAACCCAATCCCTCCAAAGTTAATACTGAAACATTTTCCAGGTTCTCGCCGCAAAATGTCATTTCATAAGTTAGCCATTTCAGAGGTAGCTTTTCCTCCTTGGCACTAGAGACATTTGGGCTCATATTTCCTTGTGGGTGACAAACACTCAAGCACTTCAGATTTTTGGGACCTCAGATTAGGAAAATGCTGAATCACTGATTTCATCCCTGGCTAAACTGAGATATCTGACAATGTGGATGGTTTTGCTCACAAGCAGTTTGGATACATGGAACTCAGCCTATATAAGCATACATGTGTTAGCCATGTACATGTATACATAGTGTGTTTAGTTTGTCACTATGATAGATACCTAAAACAACTTAAGGAACACAAGATCCATTGGGATTTAATAGTTCAGAAGTTAAAAGTCTGTGGTTGGTTGAATTCATGGTTTCTGGGCTTGGGGTATGGCAGAACACCATCACAGAAGAGTATGCTGGAGCAGGTATGTTTGCTTCCTGGCAGCGAGGAAGCAGAGTAGGGATGCAGAAAAGGGTCAGGATTAAGGAGCTAGAGCTCCCAGGGACATGCCCCTGCATCCACATCCTCCACCTAAGATGTCTCTTCTCTCCCCACCTGAAAATTGAGACATAATCTCATGTAGCCCAGGCTGGCCTGAACAACTCCCTGTGTAGAGAAAAGATGACCCTAACATTTCTGATCCTCCTGCCTCCACCTACGGAGTTCTGGGATTACAAGTGTTTGCAGCCACACCTGGCTTCTGTGGTGTTGGGGCTGGACTCAGCTCTGTGCATGCCAGCCCAGTGCTCTTGAACTGAGCCACATCCCAGCCCCAGTGTCGGTTTTGATAAGTCACAGTGATAGAATTAAAATATTTTGCTTGTGTCTTCCCCAAATTGTCATAGATGATCCACAGAAAATCTTTTTGTGATTATAGAAGGATGTGACCTCTAGTGAGAATGGTGACTCTTCTCACTGCTGTGACAGGATCAGCTTGAGGGGAGGGCTTATTTGGGGGTCAAGGTTTAAGAAGATCACAGTCTGTGAAGTCAGGAAGGTGTAGCAGAGGGTGTAACTGGTAACCAGGCTTCACAGTTAGCAGGCAGAAGGAGGTGAGTGCTGATTTCCCTCGCCACCTTTCTCTTCATTCAGTTCAGTGCGTCAGCTTCTCGAGGGTTGGCCTTCCCTCCACAGTCAAACCTGTCTGGAAATGCTGCACAGGTAAGTCCAGAAGCTTAGTTTTGGGTGATTCTAAAGTCCAGTCAGACTGACAATGAAGGTGACTTCATTGTCACCTTCAGTAGCAGGTCCCTTTGGTACTCCACATCTGTGGCTGTCCCTTGACTCTCACACTAGCTCCTTACTCCCTAAAGACTGGCTTTTCCTTAGAGTAGTGAAGTGTTCGCAGTGACAGCAAGTGCTGAACGGAGATCTTGTGCTGTTCTAGGGCCTTGTGACTTTCAAGGATGTGGCCGACTCCCTGACCTGGGAAGAGTGGGAGCAGCTGGCCGCAGCTCGGAAGAGTTTCTGCAGAGAGAGCATGAAGGACCCTGATGGCACAGTTCTGCCCGGTACGTGCTGTTCTCTGACCAGTTGTAATCTGTGTGGCTTGTAGGGTGGCTGCTCTAGTTTCCTACCAGTTACTGTGAGAAAATATTCTGACCAAAAGGGTTTATTTGACTTTCAAGACCAGGTCACAGTTCATCACTGAGACATGCCAAGGCAGGAATCTGAAAGCAGACCCCCTTGCTAGTCCCCACAGCCTTCCTCTGACTGAGGAACTCATTTCACAGCCAGTGAAGAACAGCGAGAATGGGGAAGGATGCTGTTTGTAGCTGGCTTAGCCTCAGCTAGCATTCTTTTTTGTTGTTTTTGTTTGTTTGCTTGTTTTTTGTTTTTGTTTTTTGAGACAGGGGTTTGTCTGTAGCATTGGAACCTGTTCTGGAATTCACAGAGATCCACCTATCTCTGCCTGCCAAGTACTGAGTTTAAAGGTGTGCACCATCACTGCCCAGCCATTCCTTCCTTCCTTCCTTTCCTCCCTCCCTCCTTCTCTTCCTTCCTCCTTTTTTTCTTTTTTTTTTTTTAGCAGCAGTTAAGTTTTCTTTTAAATCTTTTATTTATGTGTCGTTTGTGTGTGTGTGTGTGTGTGTGTGTGTGTGTGTGTGTGTGTGTAGATCAAAAAACAACTTGTCGGAGCAAGTTTTCTCCTTCCACCATGTGTATACTGAGGATCATCAAACTTCAGCTGTCAGGTGCTTCTACCCACTGAGTTGTCTCATCATCCCCATCAAATAGCTTTTTTACACAGTTCAAAACCATCTTGCTTAGGAATGGTACCTCCCACAATGGGTTGGCCCTCTTACATCAATTAAGAATCAAGGTAGTTCCCCACAGAGAGCCCACAGGCCAATCTGATCTGCCTGGTTCCTCAATTGAGGCTTTTCTTTCATAGGCTGTTGTCAGGCTAATAGTTTTTGCTAACCAGGATTAACAGCTGAGTTTTCTATGATCTATGAGTTAGTTTGCCATTCACAAACATGGGTTAACAGCCTTAGGATTTCTTTTGTTACCTACACAAGGTCTGTTTGTATTTTATTTTGTGTGCATATGTTTGTTTTTAATATTTTGTTGTTGTTGGATTTTTGAGTCAGAGTCTCACTATGTAGCTCTGGTTGGCTTGGAACTCACTATGTAGACTAGACTAGTTGAACTCACAGAGATCTGCCTGCTTTGCCTTCCGAGTGCTAGAATTAAGAATGTGTGCCACTCCACCTGGCCTCTAATAATTTTTTTACTTGTTCTTTGATAATTTCATACATACATATAATGTACTTTGATCAGAATCGACTTCCATTCCTGTCTTACCCTTTCCCACTCGCTCTGAAGCCCTTTTTCCCAGAATGCCCCTGTTCCTATCCTTCTACTCTCTCTGGAGCCCTTGTTTTTCCCAGCATGCTTTATTACATTCCTCTCTTCTTCCCACTCTCTTTTTAAACCTTCCCAAAGTGCCCCCTCCTACATTCAAGTTTGTGGTGTTTATTTTAATTTGGGTTTTCATGTGCATGAGTGTGGGTTTATTTATTAGAGCATTGTCAACTTAACAATGCTACATTCTTGCCTGGCAGTGGTGACGCTCGCCTTTAATCCCAGCACTTGGGAGGCATAAGCAGGTGGATCTCTGTGAGTTTGAGGCCAGCCTGGTCTACAAGAGCTAGTTCCAGGACAGGCTCCAAAGCTACACAGAGAAACCCTGTCTCGAAAAGCCACAAACAAACAAACAAAAAACCCAAAACAAAACAAAAAATAATGGCTACATTCTTGAAGAAAAATCGCTCTGGCTTCCCCTAGCAGTGATTAGTTACCAGTAGCTCTTCAGCTAAGGTGAGATCTGATGATCTGATGTGCCCTCCCCATTTTTATGGGTTTGTGAGAGTGAACATCCGTTTAGTATGGGTGTATGTGTAGAGGCCAGAAGACAGGGGTTTTTATTTTGTTTTGTTTTTTGTTTTTGTTATTGTTTTTGTTTTTTGAGACAGATCTTCTCTGTGGCTTTGGAGCCTGTCCTGAAAACTAGCTCTGTAGATCAGGCTGGCCTCGAACTCACAGAGATCTGCCTGCCTCTGCCTCCCGAGTGCTGGGATTAAAGGTCTGCGCCACTACTACCTGGCCAGAGGACAATTTTTATAGACCTTCAACCAATCCTAGATTGCCTTCCCACTGAGACCTTGCCTTCAAGAGTTGGGAATTACCACCTATGTTCATTATAGCTCACCATGGAGAGCCTTTCTTGTGTTAATCCATCTCACGTTCATGGAATAAAGGCTATACAGTCTGCCCTGACATTTTTTTTTTTCAGTTCGACCTCTCTTAGTATGCAGTCTGTAGCAATGCAATGGGACCAGGGAAGAATGGCTTGGTAGCTGTAGGCGCAAGTACAAAAGGAAGGCTATTTTCCTGTTCAGCCAAAGTGGATGACCCTGATGGGCTCATTCAGTTTCACCCAAGGAGTTGGGGGAAGAACACTTAGAAGTGGGCTAGAGGTACTTCCTTTACCAGCATTTCTATTTCCCTGTTACACAGGCGAGAGATAACAGCAGCTATGTTTTCATGTTTCAGGCTTGGAAACCAGAGCTTCAAGCGCAGACTGGATTCCAAAGCAAGAAACTTTAAAGGAAGCAGAATCCCAGGCATGGGTACAAGAAGTGTCCCAGGGAAAGGTCCCACTATTTACCAAGTGTGATGATACTGTTGAGGACTGGGAAGAAAAGCTGCCAAAAGACACTGTATTGTTGCAGCTCCAGCGTTCTCCTGAAGAGCAAGGATGCGCTGCCATCCCTCATCTAATCGGTGTGTCCAAGGAAGGAGTTTCTGAGAGTAATGAATTTGGGAACAGTGCCAGCTTTGGCCTTGGTCAGCACATCCAGACAGCAAAGAATCTCAGTGCCACTGGTGCATATGGGAATGACCACAAACAAGGTTTCCATGTGAAATGCCATACAGCGAAACCTCACAACTCTGTTGACAGTAGTTTGGGGCTCCATGAGGACAAACCCTACAAATGTGACAGCTGTGAGAAGAGGTTCAGACAGCGCTCAGACCTCTTTAAACACCAGAGGACCCACACAGGTGAGAAGCCCTATCAGTGCCAAGCATGTGGGAAAAGCTTCAGCCAGAGTGCTGCCCTTGTTAAACACCAGCGGACACACACAGGTGAGAGGCCGTATGCGTGCCCAGAGTGTGGGGAATGCTTCAGGCAGAGCTCGCACCTCAGTCGGCATCAGAGGACCCATGCCAGCGAGAAGTACTGTAAATGTGAGGAGTGCGGGGAGGTCTTTCATATCTCTAGCCTTTGTAGACATCAGAGACTCCATAAAGGGGAGAGACCATACAAATGTCAGGACTGCCAGAAGAGCTTCAAACAGCGCTCAGACCTCTTTAAGCATCAGAGAATCCACACAGGAGAGAAGCCCTATGTGTGTTTTGTCTGTGGGAAAAGCTTCAGTCAGAGTGCAACCCTCATTAAACACCAGAGAACTCACACAGGAGAAAAACCTTATACATGTCTTCAGTGTGGTGAAAGATTTAGACAGAGTACACACCTTGTCCGACACCAGAGAATCCACCGAACCATAGTCTCCTAGCTTTCATGTGTTCCTGTGTGACTTGTGGGTGTTTTTGCTGTTGCTGCTATTTTTGAGAAAAGGTCTCACTGTGCAGCCCTGACTGACCTGGAAGAAGCTATATAAAGCAGGCTGGCCTCAAATGTGGAGACCAACCTGCCTCCGCCTTCATCTCCTGAGTGCTGAGATTAAAGGTGTGTACCACCATGCCCAGCATGACTTGTGTTTTGATTCTTCAGTTGTTTCTTTGTCCAGAAACTACATTCTTTGTCATTTGGAACATTTTAGTCACTCATAGATTTCCTTAGGCCTCTCACACAATAGACATTGGGTCTGATTTGAACAATTTTGTCCGTTGTTTCTTTTTTTTTTTTTTAAATATTTATTTATTTATTATGTATACACTATTCTGTCTGTGTGTGTATGCCTTCATACCAGAAGAGGGCACCAGACCCCATTACAGATGGTTGTGAGCCACCATGTGGTTGCTGGGAATTGAACTCAGGACCTTTGGAAGAGCAGGCATTGCTCTTAACCTCTGAGCCATCTCTCCAGCCCCCTTTTGTCCGTTTTTTGAGATAGGATTTCATTGTGTAGCTCTGGCCGTCCAGGAACACACTATGTAGACCTGGCTGGCCTAGAACTCAAAGATTCTCCTCCCTCTGCCTTCCAGCTGCTGGGATTAAAGACATGTACCACCAAGCTTGGCTTGATTTGAACCTTAATACATGCTTTTACAGACAAAAAATAAACAGAGAAACATCATAAACTGGGTGGTGGTGGCACACGCCTTTAATCCAGCACTCAGGAGGCAGAGGCAGGTTGATATCTTGATTTCGAGGCCAGCCTGGTTTACAGAGTGAGTGCCAGGGCAGGCTCTAAAGCTACGTAGAAAAATCCTGTCTCAAAAAACTAAAATAAATAAATAAATAACATTATAAATCAAACCTAACAATATCTACAGAACATTCCGCTCAAATACTAAAGAATAAACTTTGTTTTATAAAGAATTTCATGGGCTGGGTGGTGGTGATGCACACCTTTAATCCCAGCACTGGGTAGAGGGAAAGAGGCAGGTAGATCTCTGAGTTTGAGGCTAGCCTACTCTACAGAGGGAGTTCTGGGACAACCAAAGCTACACAGAGAAACCCTGTCTCAAAAAATAAAAAAATTTCATGGAGTTAGGCATTGTGGCACAGGCTTTCATCACCACTCTGGAGGCAGAGGCAAGCAGATCTTTGAGTTTGAGGACAGCCTGGTCTACAGAGGGAGTTCTAGGACAGCCAGGGCTACACAGAGAAGCCCTGTTATTTGTTTTTATTTTTATTTATTTTGGTTTGGTTTTTCAAGACAGGGTTTCTTCGTGTCCTAGACCAGGTTGGTAGACCAGGTTGGTCTCGAAATCACAGAGATCTGCCTGCCTCTGTCTTCTTAATGCTGGGATTAAAGGCGTGTGCTACCATTGCCCAACAAGAGAAGCCCTGTTTTGAAAAGAAAATAAAGGAATTTCATGAGCCAGCAAGATGGCACAACAGGTAAAGGTACTTTCTGTGCAAACCTGGCAACCCGAGTTTGATCTCTGGAACCAAGTAAAGGTGTAAAGAAACTGTCTCCACAAAGTTGTTCTCTGGCCACTACACATGTACAGTTACATACACTTCAAGCACATACACACTAATACATTTTTTTTTACATTTATTTATTCAATAGACACAATACAGTGTGTATATGGAAGTCATAGGGCAACTTGCAGGAATCGGGTCTCCCAACCTGTAGATTCCAAGGGTGATCTCAGGTCATCAGGCTTGGCAGCAAGTGTCATTACCCACTGACACATCTCACAGGCCCAATAATTTTTTTTGAATTTTATAAAAAATATTGCAGGGGAGAGGAATGTAAGGGAACTTTCAAAAAGATGAAATGGTACCATGTTTGAGAGGTTTAATGATAAGAATAAGGGCTAAAGGCAGGAACAATGGCTCAGTAGTTAGGATGACAGATATCACTCTTACAGAGGACCTAGATGCGATTCCCAGCACATCATCTGCACCTAAAACTAGAATCTTTTTTCTGTGGTTTCTCATGAAACACAAGGAAGTGGTCCAGGAGGACATCCTTAGGATCTTCAAAAAGAGAAGGCTGAGGACAGAAGCTTTGACTCCTATGGCCTCAGGGTTAACGAGATGGTTCTGCAAGTAAAGGTGCTTGCCACCAAGCCAGGTGAGACCAACATGGTGGAAGGAAAGAACTAGAACCCAAAGATGTGTCTGGCCTCACACATACTGTGCCAAAAATATGCCTCACCCACACACTAATTTTTTAAAAAAATGCCCCAAGGCCTGGGACATGATTCTACATTGCCTTGAAGTTGCTCCCCTACCCCCATTTTAAACAAGTTCATTTAAATAAGATGAAGGGAAAACTAGAATCATTTTGCTCAAGAGTAAATTTACCCCTATTTAAAGACAGAGAGTTTTCTACATGTAACAACTACATACAAAAAGTTAAAAGATTGGGAGCTGGAGAGATGGCTCAGTAGTTAAGAGCATTGCCTGCTCTTCCAAAGGTCCTGAGTTCAATTCCCAGCAACCACATGGTGGCTCACAACCATCTGTAATGAGGTCTGGTGCCCTCTTCTGGCCTGCAGACATACACACAGACAGAATATTGTATGCATAATAAATAAATAAATTAATTAAAAAATTAAAAGATTAAGCCAGGCAGTGGTGGTGCACATCTTTAATCTCAGCACTCGGGAGACAGAGGCAGGAGGATCTCTGTGAGTTCAAGGCCAGCTCCGTCTACAAGAGCTAGTTCCAGAGCAGACAACAAAGCAACACAGAAAAACCCTGTCTCGGGCTGGAGAGATAGCTCAAAGGTTAAGAGCATTGCCTGCTCTTCCAAAGGTCCTGAGTTCAATTCTCAGCAACCACATGGTGGCTCACAACCATCTGTAATGGGGTCTGGTGCCCTCTTCTGGTATGAAGGCATACACACAGACAGAATATTGTATACATAATAAATAAATAAATAAATATAAAAAAAAACCCTGTCTCAAACAACAACAACAACAAAAAAAAACCAAAACCAAAAAAAAGTTAAAAAATTGTCCTTGGTTTTACAATGATAAAAACATTAAAATTCTCCAGTCAAACAAGGTATGCAAGAATTTTATGTTTTAGGGGTCTTTCATTAAAACAAAGGAAAACAACTTACTGGATTGTAAAGAACTGATGAGCATGCCACTAATGGAGAAGGGGATATTTTCCCAGAACTAGTACTTTCCCCTAGACCATCTTCATTTGATGGCAACCAAAACAGAACATTGGTCCTTTAGTCTAAAAAAGAACAAAATGCAATATGTTTGTGCACATACACTAGTTACTTTATGTACAATAAAGAAATGGGGGACAGGGAAATGAAAGACTAGAGAAACTATAGTAGTCAGGATATGGTGGAACCAAACTGCGACTTTCTAATTGAGAGTATATTCTTGGCCTATAACAACATTCTGGAGTAGGGTAGCAGGTTCTCTTTTGTAGACACCTATCTGCTGCTGGAACACATCAGTCGCATCTCCATCCTCCATTTACAGCTAGCTGTGCAGCTGTGTCTGTTTCACTGATTTTCTTTTTTCTCTTTTTTTATATTGATTTTTATTGAGCTGTTTTTCTCTGCTACCCTCCCTGCCTCTTCCCTCCCCCTTTCAACTCTCCCCCAACGTCCCCATGCCCTCGATTTACTAAGATCTTGTCTTTTTCTACTTCCCATGTAGATTATATCTATGTAAGAGTCTCTTAGTGCCCTCACTGTTGTCTAAGTTCTCGGGATTGTGGTTTATAGGCTGGTTTTCTTTGCTTTATGTTTAAAAAAACCACCTATGAGTGAGTACACGTGATAATTGTCTTTCTGTGTCTGGGTCACCTCACTCAAAATAATGTTTTCTAGCTCCATCCATTTACCTGCAATGAACATAGTTGAGCACATGTCCTTGTGGCACGATTGAGCATCCTTTGGATATATACCCAAAAGTGGTCTTGAGGAAGGTTGTTTCTGAGAAATTGCCACACTGACTTCCAAAGAAGTTGTACCAGCTTGCATTCCCACCAGCAATGCAGAAGTATTCCCTTTTCCCCACAACCTCTCCAGCATAAGTTGTCATCAGTGTTTTTGATCTTGGCCATTCTTTCAGGTGTAAGATGGAATCTCAGAATTGTTTTGATTTGCATTTCTCTGATGACTAAGGATGTTGAACATTTCCTTAAGTGTCTTATAGCCATTTTAGATTCTTCTTTTGAGAGTTCTCTGTTTAGGTCTGTACTCCATTTTTTATTTTTTTTATTTATTATTATTTTTTTTAAGTTTTTTTTAAACTTTATTTATTTACTTATTATGTATATAATATTCTGTCTGCAGACCAGAAGAGGGCACCAGACCTCATTACAGATGGTTGTGAGCCACCATGTGGTTGCTGGGAATTGAACTCAGGACCTTTGGAAGAGCAGGCAATGCTCTTAACCGCTGAGCCATCTCTCCAGCCCCTGTACTCCATTTTTTAAAAATTGGATTATGTATTCTTTTGGTGACCAATTTCTTGAGTTCTTTGTATATTTTGGAGATCAGCCCTCTGTCTGATGTGGGGTTAGTGAAGATCTTTTCCCATTCTGTGGGCTGTTGTTTTTATCTTGTTGACTGTGTTCTTTGCTTTACAGAGCTTTTCAATTTCAGGAGCTCCCATTTATTGTTTCTCTCAGTGTCTGTGCTGCTGGGGTTATATTTAGGAAGTGGTCTCCTGTTCCAATGCCTTCAAGTGTACTTCCCACTTTCTCTTTTATGAGATTCAGTGTGGCTGGCTTTATGTTGAGGTCTTTGATCCATATGGACTTGAGTTTTGTGCATGGTGATAGATATGGGTCTATTTTCATTCTTCTGCATGTTGATATCCAGTTATGCCAGCACCACTTATTAAATATGCTTTCTTTTTTCCATTTGATATTTTTTGCTTTTTTTGTCAAAAATCAGGTCTTCGAAGATGTGTGTATTTATATTTGGGTCTTCTATTCAGTTCCATTGGTCCTCCTGTCTGTTCTTATGCCAATACCAGGCTGTTTTCAGTATTGTAGCTCTGTAGTAGAGTTTGAAGTCAGGGATTGTGATGCCTCCAGAAGTTCTTTTATTGTTTTGGTTATCCTGGTTTTTTTTTTTTTTTTTTTTTT